AGTCCAGTAGCCCATAATAGCATTGGGTCTTCTGTTTAACTGGCAATGTCAGAAATTGTTGACAGGAGTCCCCCACAGCTCAACATAACAGCATGGCTTTACTTCCTATATTTCATCTTCATACTTTTCTAGTGGATGGTTAAGACCAAGGTAAAGCAGGACCTGTGCAATAAGAGTTGTAGTTTTTGGGTCTCAACAGCATATTTAAAAGTTCATTCACCATGATCAAGTGAGCTTCATCCTAGGGATGCAAGGATGGTCCGATTTATGCCAATTAATGCATCTCATTAAAGTCAATGGCAAAAATCATATGATCATTTGAATAGATGCTGAAAATCTTCTGAAAAGATTCAATATCCTTAATAATGAAAACTCTCAACATACTAGGTATAGTAGGAATGTACCTCAACACAATGAAGGGCATATATAACAAACCCAAGTCGACATACTGAACTGAAAGTGGAATTGAAAGATTTTACTCTAAGATTTAGAACAAGGCAAAGATACTCATTTTCATCATCTTTATTTCAAATTGCCCTAGAATTAGGCAGAGCAATTAGACACTTGAAAAGATAAAGCAAGTAGCCAAGGAAACAAAAGTAGAGCATCCAAACTGGAAAAGAGGAAATCCCACTGTTTTTGTAGATGACATGATCCTGTACATAGAAAATCGTATAGACTTTACACACAAAAAAAATCTGGAATTAACAAATGAATTCATTAATGCTATAGAATACAAAATCAACATGCAAAAATAGTATGACATATCTACACTTTAAATACACATTTTCTTTAAAAACTGAGAAAAATCACATTTGAAATACCCACAAAGAATAGGTAGATGTAGTGGTGTGTGTCTGTGATCACAGCTACTCAGGTGGCTGAGGCAGGAGGACTCCAAGTTTGAGGTCATCCTGGAAATATAATGAGACTTGTCTGAAAAAAAGAAGAAAAGAATAACAATAGCTGCAAAAATAAAATATATTGCATAAGAATAAATTTAACCAAAGACATGAAAGACTTCTACAATTAAAAACTACAAAATATTCATGAGCTGGACATGGTAGCACACACCTGTCATCTCAGGACTTAGGATGCTGAGGCAGGAAGATTGTCACAAGTTCAAGTCCAGTCTGGGCTACATAGTAGGTTCAAGGCAAGCCTGAACTGTGTAGTGCAACTTTATCTCAAAAACAAAACAACACACACACACACACACACACACACACACACACATTGATAAAAGAAATTGAAAATAAATAAATAAAAATATATCTCATGCTTGTAGAATAGAACTAATAATGTTAAAATATCTGTATTATCCAAAGTGATCTACTAAGTTAATCAGTACCTGTCAAAACACCAATGCCATTCTTCACAGAAACAAAACAGAATCCTGAAATTTGTACATAGGTATAAAGGTCCCCAAGCCAAAGGAATCTTGCACATGGAGAGCAAAGCTGAAGATGTCACATTACCTGAGTTCAAAATATACTACTGTCATGTCCAGGACTGTGTACAGTTACACTGAAGTCAACTGGAAATCATAAACTTATACTAACAAAGAATTAGAAATACAAATTGAGGAGAAAAACAAAATTACTTCAAAATTGCTGGAGATAAGGTAGGGATCTCAGGGATCATTATGTAGCATAAAAGGATTCTCCTTACTGAAATTTGTTGCAATTCAATTGGCTCTTTCAGGCCCTGAGACCCATAATTTGGCCACTGACACCCTCCATTATTTCTGAAATTAATGGCATGTAAGGGAAATACACACACAGTACACAAAAGAAAGAAAGAAAGAAAGAAAGAAAGAAAGAAAGAAAGAAAGAAAGAAAGAAAGAAAGAAAGAA